TTAATTAACAGCCAAGTTAAAATCGTCTCGCCTCAAGTAATTCCTAACAAGACTTAAGCCTGACCACTTATATCTGGCTTACGGATGAATTGAATAAGGCAAGCAGAAGTAATCAAGTTATTTTTGATAATAACATTGGTCTTAGCAATTAATGTTATATTCATTAACATCACACTACTATCTGTAGTGGAAGAATACAATTAGTTCCTTTCATTATCAGTCTAGACATTATCAAGTGATTTTTAGCAAACAAACAACCACCCGTAATTAATAATAAATTAATGCTTTCATAGCTCTAGTTCTTATACCAAACTTACTTACAGACATGATCAATTTAGGATACAAGGGAACAATATCAAGTAGCGCATTAAGTGAGGAAACATATTTAAATTTTCTACAGTTATCATGTGTGGTGCAGTCCTCCTGCACTTACCAATATAATACAAGTTCCTTTGATGTTAACTCGTCTGCTGTTATATCTACATATTTTTTTTACATTTCCATTTTTGGGCCAGTCCACATATGTTTTTGTTTAATATTTTCAGTTCTATCTTAAATTATATTTCTTCTCTGGGAATATGTACATGTGCTGTGTTCTTGTATTGTTTCTTTTCTTCTCGGTTTTGATGTGCAGTTCTCTTGCATTGTCTATCAAAATTCAATAGCCTAAAATTTGCCATTAAAACCATATATGATCATGAAGGAATTAAAACCAATAAAGCTTTCTCGACCAGCATCTACCAGATACACCAGCAAATATTGTGACTCCTTCGTGATAGAAAGTGGAGTTGATTTGTTTTTAAAGATGTTGTCTCCAACTGAATGATAACTAATTATTTACATGTACCACTGGAAGGAGGAGAATATTCTGTTGTGCTGCTATCATCAAATTTCCTTCCTGTGTTGGATAAAGTCACAGACCTTTATATACATAGTATGTTCTTTCAAATTCTAGGCTTTCTTAAAATAAACCCAGATGTATATTTACATGTATGGATGGCTCTGATTTAAATCTACTCTTCAGGGGTCATCAGTGTACCGAAAGGCTGGGTTCATATCGTTTCTCAGAGCAGCATGACAGAAATTGGATACCATGGCAATATTTTATATATGTTGTCAGTGGGAGGTGAGACAGGCTCCAGTCGAAATCAACTGGAACATTAGAAAAATTTATATTATTTCATGTGACGACAGATATCCTAGACTAATTGTTCTATGTTGTCAAACACTAACTTTACACAGTGCCATGAAATACCTAATCTGTAAAACCATCAATCTTGGAATAACTAACGGTGCTGATATTCCCATGGGTTATCTAAGATTGTCAGGAACTTGAGAGAAATCTATTAGAGGAGTTAGCCCGTGTAATGCTAGGGTTACATCAGTGTACTAATTCCACCATGGATATTATAATTAGTTATGGTCAATGATTGAATGTCCAGAACAAGCTTTGATTACAGTTTATTAGTCTATTGGAATGTTGCTACAATTAATTAAAGAATGTTTAGTATTTTTACAACAGTGTCATATTGCATGTGCTGATATTATTCTACTTTTGGAAATGTATGCAACCAATTTAGTATTACTTTAGTTTGTATATATATATTGAATTGCGTAAATTTTGGGTCGTAACAGGGATATGATATTGACATTTCAATGGCTAGTATATAGGCTACAGTGTGATAGACCAAGATAGAACTATTGTGCCCTGCACAGAGAAACTTTGATCTCCATGTTAAAGTCCCCAGCAGTAAGTCCAAATTAAACTGGGGTTGTTTTTTTTTCATCCACATGAATTCTTTCTCAAATTTCATTGTTTGGTGTTATTTACTCAAAGTAAGAAGTGTGCCTATCCATATGAAAAGACGCAAGACCAGTAAATGTTTTGTTTTATTTAGAAATCCAAATTTGATCTAATGCTTTTATTTCAGCCAAGATAGAAATAGAAATGTCTTTTTAAAAGCCAACAATAAGAAAATATACGATCTTTGACATACAGATGACCTTTACAAGTCAGACATTTCCAATAAAAGAACAACAAAAAGTAACATTTACAGTTCCCCAGTATATACATATTAACAAGACAATGTTGCCACCATGGCTAGTCCTGGTGTAGACATGATAAAATATAACAATTCATTGATAACATTAACATTCTATCGTTATTCCATGGTGCTGAAGACTGATTACTGATACATTTTACTCCTTTTGAATTGTAAGAGACCTATTTGTATTAAAGTAATTTAACTAATCAATGGGATTACTAACACATATCAGGTTGTAAATATTGTAAGTTCAATTACTAAATGACCCTCTGGGTATTTCAATCAAAAACTACCATGTTTAAGGCCCATTATAAGATGACATCATGGTGGTTCTAATTAAAACAAGACCATTACAGAAGATAGAGTGAGCATGGGTCACTATTAACAGGATACTTGAGCAGAAATGACCAATGGTCACCAATGACCACTAGGTCCAGCTAGCAGTAATGGGTAACCTTTTTCAGCTTGATCTTATAGCTACTTTGATAATAGCACAGTATTTCTATTGAACTCCCGTGGGGACCTAAATCATGAATACATCTTAGTTTTAATTATTACAACTCAAATGTATCAAGTCAAAGTCAGACTGTATGTAAAAATATATTGATTTTGGAGTACTGACAACCCACATAAACATAACACTAAGAAAAATCATTTCTTAACACCGTTTATCAATTCTTTTCATCATTTTTTAAGAAACAGTCTGATATTTTTCTCTCAAACCACACAGTTGAAAACAAAAAGAATACAAGCATAATACATATTTTTTAAGGCTGGCTTTCATTTATAAATATTGAACACAAAACATTTAGAATATTAATGAAAGATAAAACACCCCAACTATTTGTTATTTCAAAACAGCAAAATGAAATAAAAAATTACCATTATAATCAGTTATTAGGCAATTGTTTTGTTTCTATTGCAGAACAGACTGAGATGGTTTCCTAAGACAGATTTGCTTTCTTAAGAAACTGTTATCAAATCGGCCATAAAATTTTGTGCCCTTATCTTACATAATCAGGCGACTAGGTGAATAATTATCTGTCTCCTAAATTCTGGTTGCTAACAATTAGAAACTATAAACTAGAGACCCGTATCTGGTCAATCAGTCAACCAAATTTAATGGTGATCTGCCAAATCATGAATTAACATGTAACTTCCTTGCTAATCCAAGATGCAAACACAGCAAGTAATCTTGTAAATTAGCACTATAAAACAAAATGTGATAAGAGGTCTCAATGCGGTATCACCCATGGTGGAAACAGATTTTAATCTTTAAGCAAGAACAACTAACGAATGAGGTTCAAAGTCCTCATTTCTTACTTTTATTGCTTAAGGCACAGTTGTGAATTTGAAGAAGTCTTGAGTTGAAGAACATTTTGTTTAAAACATTTTAAATTCTTTCCCCAGTCCATCCCAAAAGAATTAAAAACCAACAATATAGTGCTGATTAAATTCAATTATTCAATACCAATGTTCAATAATAAATTTGTTATGTGTGTAGGGACACATACCATGCCAAGAAAAAAAAAATGTCCTGAATCTATTTCAATATCAGTAGCAGTTAAATAAAATATGTGAAAAGTAATCAAACTGGATCCAAACAAATTCATTGCCTTGTACTAAAAATAACATTTTTTTATCTTTAATTTACTTTGGTTGAATAAATGAAACTCATATTGAGGGCATCGTCAGAGAAGTGAACCAAAATGGGGTTCCAGAAGCTTTTAAACACAGGGACACATATTTGCAGTTTATTCTCTTCCCAGTTCCAAATATGAATTACCCCCTGTTGCCGATATCATCCACAAAAATAATAATGGACCTAGCAAACCCCAAAACATAAAAGCAAATTCTGACTACTTGACCAAAAATAAATTATCCATAACATTTTCTTATAAAAAGGTTTCAAATTTCTAAATGGTGTATTAAACTGATATTAAGAATCTCATTTAACTTTATAGCTAAATTAATATGTTTAAAATGACAAATTTCAGGGTTTGTGTTTTTAATTTGGTCAAATTGAAATATATATGAAAGTAATAACAGACACCCATTTTGCAAAGTCAATCTACCACCAACTCCTGCACTACAAGTCACCCTAAACTAATGGACAAGCCTTCTCATAAAAATCCCACAAAAAACTGGTGTGTTTGGTGAAAAGGGCAATATAAGACGATAACTTTGATTATCATGTTGTCAATATGTAGTAAAACAGCTTTATAAGTACCATCATGTCTAGCCTATAAAATCCTTTCCCTCATATATTTTATATACCATGCTGTATACCGGTCAAAACTCCACAATCCTGCTGCTGTTATCAACTTTTATAGCAAACTTATTTTTTGTTGAATTCAATATATATGTAGCAAAGGTTCACCCGAGCATGTAGAGCCAACTTAGCAGATTGAAGTAATCACCGAAATGATATTCACTCAATTATTTATGGGTTCCATTTATTGGTTTCATGTCTTTTTTTCTCAAATCAATTATGCAGACACATGAATTTTTAACTATCAAATTTGATAAACATCACTTTCACATTGATGCAACCAATGAGTAAAAAGAGAAGAAACAGCTTTCACAGCTTCCATAGTGGTGCCATAACTTCTGGGCTTAGCAAATTTGCATGGCATTATTTGCGTGATATTTATCTCAAATGAAAATAGCACCATATCAAGACCAATATTTGATTATATATTTATTTGAGAGTAATCACATATTTCTGAATTTGTTATTTTTTTTCATCATTTTCAAGCTGCCACATAATCTGCAGTTAATGCAAGCATAATCTGGCTTTTATAGCTTACGCAAGATCAATTTGGTGCCATATTACTGCTTCACATGGAATGGGTTAGGGCTTCTGTGCCTCAGTATTATTCCATATATTGAATAATATTCAAAACAAACCCCAGAAATGGTTAAAGAATAATGATAAATTTTCATAATTCTTACCTTTCCAGCACCAGGATTGAGTAATCGTCCCAGACCTCGAGCTAAACATGGTGGAGCAGGTGGAGGTGATGAACGGATGATGTCACAAAAATTAGTTGGAAATGGTGGTGGTTCGGGATCAGGTGGCTGATGACGCTTTTTCTTTTTACTGATTTTCTGAGCAGCCCTGAAAATATTAAAAATATACACATTAATAATATATATAAGACCAAGAAATAATATGCTGTCAATTCAAGAAATTGGTTCTGAATAATTGTCTTTGCTTATTTCAGTATGTCTACAGCCTCGTGTTCAATATTGATGTAGGGTGATCATTTGTTTAATAGTTGATTTTATAACTAGGCGCAAACTTTTTTTTAACTAAATGCAAACTTTCTTCCAACAGAATCAATGCTTTTCTATTGTTTTCTTTAAATTATTAGAAGGATCCCATCAAACATATTAATACAGAGGAAAGAAGTTATATCAAAAGTATACATGTGTGAACAAAACCAATATTTGACTGTTTGAATTTAAGAGTCATTTGGACAAATTTCATGGACATTCACTCAAATTCAATAATGTACTGGTCATCTCAACTCTTGAATGATTTGACATATTATATGTTCACATGTGTTTACTAGTACCCACATATATACAAACATGCTGTCCATATCTAGTACCCCCAACTAAACATCTTATCAACTCATCAAATTTAATCTCTGGTTTCTCTTCACTGATCAGGCTGCCATTAAACACATAGCAATGAATGAGATATGTGTGTGGAAATATGTCATTAATTTTAAAGGGTCCTTTTTCTACATCAATCAGAGATTTATTGGTAGTCGCTGACAGCTGGTTGTAGGCTACATGTTGTGCTGAGATAGAAACAACTACAGACTTTATTTCATACACATCAAAGAAATTAACATTTTTTATGAAAAACTAAAATAAATTGTACTTTCTTTTAATCAGAATACAACTATTAGGACATATGTTGCACATCTCAATTTACAAAAGATAAGATTCAATATAGTTTCTAATACAGCTGTTCAAATGATTGGGAAAAAATGTAGGAGATTTAAGAAGAAGTTAAATTAAATTAATCGAAAGAATTTCTGTGGTGAATTGGACATTTCAAGGCAAAGTGCTGCTTCATATCTATAACATACTCTGATTACTTCTTTCAAAACTTCATTTCTATAGGTGCTTGATTTGACGTAAAAAGTATTATATCTATTAAGAAACTGGCTCCATTGAGAAGCGGTGTGTCTTTAAGTTGGTGCTTCAGTGAACAGTATTTCCGTGCTGTGAAATTAGATTCATTATCTCAACGCTTGTTTCTTCCTTGCTTTCTGACAACATACCCAAATCAATCAATATACTGTCGTCTGTCTGTATTAGACCAGGTTTAGAAATAACTTATCTCTCTATTAAATAAGTACATCTTCTTTATAACACCCAGCACACCCCAATTTCTTCCCAGTTTTCTCTTCATCAAATGCTGATTGCATTAAAATGGATTTCATTTACAGACTTTTGCTTATCTTGGTGTCCACTATACTTCTATCCCTTCAATTCAATACGATGTTCTTTTATGCCCCTTGTATACTGCTCACAGTGATACATAATAAATATGCAGTTCAGATGGGCGACAAAATTAAAAACTTAAACAGCTTGACCTTGTCATCTGAACACAAACGTTTTATCAAAGAAACCAGTTTAAAAAAAAAACAACTCTCTACCGGAGTTGAGTGGCTTCACTCAGTTAGCTTAGGGCATGCACTTTTCATTTTTTTTCGGTCAAAACAGTTAGCTGGTTTTGCTTATAGTCTGTGTGAACGCTACACTCCCCTGGCTTAAAACTTCTGAGTTTCTAAATTGGCTTATATAAACATTAGGGATCACGGTGGCTATAAGTGGGTAGTCGCTGACTCACTAGCCTGGAGGTCGGGTGTTCAATCCCTACATTGACCGAGAAAGTTCATCCAGATTTTCCGGCGTGGATCCCCCTTGTCAGTGATGCAGAACGGAAGGCCTGACAAGGACAACTGTCTAGTCGTTCGGATGGGACGAGGTCCCATGCACACATCGGCATGCACGTAAAAGATCCCTTGACAGTTGGAATTCGATATAAGAGTAGGCTGTAGTGCTGCTATCCGGGCAAAATTTCCCTCATAGCACACTGTATGGCATATGTCTGTCTTCATTAGCCCAGTTCGGAACAGCACAGTAGGACGTTAAACCCCATTTCATTTCATTTCATTTCTATATACATTAGCTGTCTGAATGCATGGGCAAATGAAACTCCTTGGTAGCCCGGCCTTCTCTACATAATAAAATAACCACAGTGTTTCCTTTATAAATTCTATGGTCAAATTACCAAGTCCAGTGGACGACTTCAACACAAATAATCAACAAAAATCACATAATGGTAAGCGGTACAGATGACAAGGCTAAGCAAGAAAACGCAAAAAAGCAACCATGTTGCTCTGTTCATTATAGTGAAAAAAAATAAAATCTTCAAATATCTTTGTAAATCATGTAAATTCTTTCATAAGCAATCCAAATATCTCTCAACTAATAAACACATAGTTTGTAACATACATAAGTATATTCATAAAAAGTTGCAAAGTTAAAATCATGTAACGAAAAGTTTTGAAATACCAAAATATTCCATGAAAGAAAGAAATAACTAAAACAAATAGTAGATGATAACCAAAATAAATAGCAATCAACAGGTTGTTTAGATTACTTACTTATTAAAAGAATCCATTTTCAATATCCTATTCTACTTGTTCTAATCCTTGGAGAAAGAAACACTCAAAGAACAACTCTATAGACCATGCCTAAGTATACATGTACATGTATATCAAATCCAGCATGTCCACTTTACTGTGAGTTCTATACTATATCCATGATATATTATCAGTCATATTGGCCCCTTCTTCACTCTAGTCCACACTTACAACTGGCAAGTTAGAAGCCAGGCTGGAAAACCAATACCTTTACAGTCTAACAAATTAAGCTGCTCATCCAATCTTACTGGTGTGTCACATGACTTTTACTACATTATAAGAGTCTACCCTGGTAATTAAGTTAGCCATTAGACAGGGAGGAAAGTTTTAATCAACTCCAGTTTAAAATTTCTCACACAAGTTTTTAAATGGTGTGTATTAGCTTACATGGTTTGTCACCATTGTTACACACTGTTCATTATTATTCTCTTCCCATCATAATATAACTTGTGTCTTAATAAATTGGAAAGGAGCTTTCTTCAGAACCTTTCCTTCACATACACAACCATTTTCACATTTTGTAGTTCACTATTGTAAAATATAATTGATTTATGGTACTAAGAACATTACTATGCAATTCACTAGAAGTCGAGAGGGTGAATAATCAAATGCTTATGTTGTCGCTAATTATATCTGAACTCTTTTTAATAAATTATATAAATCCATTCACTGAATCTAATATTTATACTTGGAGGTTTTAAATTGAATTAGTTGGTTGAAAAAAAAATAGTTGAACCCTCTCATAGACAAATCAAAATTTAGCCCTGCTTGTAGATAATTAGATTATAACTCCTCATCAACACAATATTTTGTTATTTTGGGACTAACATGATATTTTTCATTTCAATTGTTACATGTGCAATGTTAGGGGAAGAATTTCCACATAATTTGGCAAACAGTCACCATCAATTGCAAGCACAGCTGTTCAAAGAAAGAAGTTGTTAAATAACTTTTATGAATGGGAAGGGGTATACAGTGCTGTTAATTTCATCTTCTGGGGAAAATTGGTTTATATTTTTTTAAAATGATTTATTTTGTAGGAAGGCGTGGGTCCATCTAATGCTCTAGCAAGGTCCAGTCGGTAATTAAACACCTGATCTCAGAAGATCCATTACTTCAGTATAACGAGAGAGAGAGAGAGAGAGAGAGAGAGAGAGAAAGAGAAATGGGGTTAAACGTCCACTCGACACCAACTAGATCATTTTGGGACTAACATATTGTTCAATTTTATTTCAATAATTCGCTTGCGAATAGGGGTCTTTAGCAGTGGGAGGCAACTAGAGGACCCAGAGAAAACCCACCAGGTTGGACAGGCGACCCTACTCCTTGTCATGTACAACTGGGGAATCAAAACCATGGCAGTTGATTCAATGACAGACCTTATGATGAAACGCCCCCGCACCTACCATTGGGCCATCCACCCCCCCCCCCCCAGTATAAAGAACAAAGCAACAATGGTTAATGAATGGACAGAATGACAGATGTGGAGATATTCAACAATAAATTTTTTCAGTCTGAATTTAATGACAAATTTACACAATCTTGGGGATGGGTGGGAATTTGTAATCATAGATTACATCCAAGTTTTGTAGCCGTGGAAATTTAGGTGACACAATTTCAGACACAGAAGACAATAAATGAAACAATATGTTTAATAAAGTTGCTGATCTTTTTTGTCCAATAATCTGCTTCTAGAACATTATCTACACTATACCATGGCAAACATAACATGCAGGCAAATTACGATCAATTGACAAAATAAGATGAATGTTTATTGAGGCTATGTGTTAAACACTTAAAGCAGTATGTACAGAACATGAATAGGCAGATCTATAACTGATGTTTGGACAATTCCTGCAACCATAGATGGTCACAATAAGAAATCTAGAATCATCAGAACATTTGTCATCTAATTGGTTTCAATATAACTTGCTTTAGAGACGCTGCATCATCAGCATTTTATAGTCTATCTGAAAGATTCCTAATAATCAGTATTAAACATTAGAATTTCCAAACGAACCATCAGATAAGACTAAATCCTAATAATTTTTAATAACTATTATTTCTATATTTTGTCTGTAAATTTTTCTCTATTCAGGCAGAAAAAAGTATGTTTTTAGTCATGCTTCATTATAATTATACTTTCCAAGGATATATTTACATTTCAAATAAGCAATAACAAAGAAATCTTGTGACCAATTTACATTAACTGATAGTCCCAGAAATTTAATTTTAATAGGTACACTTGGATGACGAATAAATGGGTTCATATAAAGCCTATTTCATACGCTTGTCTGAAGACCACTAAGCACATCATAAAGGTACCATATAACATTGAATACAACTTTTGAATTTTTCTTTGATTTTGAACTGTTAAAATGTGTAATGTATACCTTGACAGTTGTGATGAACTACATTAAGCACATTATCTGGACAATTACTGGAAGCTCCAACTGCTTTTCAAATTAAAGGAAATGAATGGGATTTCATGGCATGATAGTTTATAGTGGGATTTATGCCCCTAGCCTAATGTGAGCAAGGAATATTTTTCCATGGTGGCAGCACATTAGCTTTACTTCCTGTGGCTCTTTATCATAAACCATTTTGCAGATCGGACAACTGGTGTTATTGGAAACTACACATCCAACTTTCTTGTCCGATTTAATCATAAACAAATTTAGGTGAAATGTGTCAGTGTGACTTTATTCAAAGTTACGGATGAACATTTGTTTTGGTTTTTTTTGACAATATCTAATTTTTCATAGCATAATCAAATTTAACGTTTAATTAGGAAGACAAAATCAAAATATCAACTATAAATAATCTCACAGCTTGGATTTAATCGGATTAAAAAGAGGCCCATTAAAAGATTTAAGCAAAGATTATAGGTGCCACTGGCTTGTTTTGAGAATATCCCAACTGCAGAGAATCTTGAATGTTGGACCTGAACCATTTTTGGATAGATACACCTTTTAGAGATTCAACTTTCACAATACTGTAGTTTGCAAGTAATTCCTCAAATGATGATAATAGACTTTAACAGTGGGATATTATAAATGAATTTTTGTTCAGTTTTTGAAAAATGAAACAGTAATCGAATCAAACATTGAAGACTTGGAAAATTGTCATGGCATTTCCTATCCCTATTTTATTGTCTAATAAATACAGTCAGACATCTGACACTATGACATTCTTTCAGGAAGGCAGGCACTTTTTATGAGTCCACAAGAAAAAAGAAAAATTATTGTAAAGAAAATGGTAAGGATCAGGAAATGTAAGTCAAAAAAGCCAGTCAAATACTGAACTTATGAATCTGTAAATCTGACCTCTAGAGAACGAATGATCAAAATGATCAATCGACCGATTCAACCCAACTTCTTTCTATGTGGACTGATACCATTACCTCATATTAATGTGCTTAAACAGAAGTCTTGCACAAGAGGAAACAAAATCAATATTCATAAATTGGAAGTTAATGATGTGTAAAAAATCCAATACTTTGATCAAATATCATCAAGAACAAGAATTAAAATTCATATTGTGAGGCTTTAAGCGTGGTAGCAATAGCATAGCAATTCATTACATGCCATCTGACATAAAAATCAGATTTTTAATGAAATCGTGTGTCATCAAGTGTCTGATCAAATATCAGAAATCACTAGGTAAGGATACATAACAACACAACATGATTAGAAAATTAATGTAACCAAACACACCATTGGTTCAACTTAATCACACATCCAATTGCGTAATCTGTTTTTTATTCAACGACCTATTTTTTTTATTTATCTGGCTCAACTTATCTAGAATAAAGTTAATTCAATATAAGATTATGTTTTTCAATTACCTGAGTTATGTAACGCAAAAACATCCTATCTTTCATTTGTTTTGTAAATAGATTTTTATTATTCTGAAAATTTATCTTGTCTGTATTATTTTTTCATCATTTCCAAGAAGATAATATGCTTTTCTTTTAAAGATGCATTATGTAACAGCTAAATCTACCTATTGTGGATCGTTTTTCTGGCTTCAAATGTTACATAAACTATTATTTAGACATTAATTCACATGACAAGCCCATAATAAACTCTCTAGACCATCGGATGGCTGAGATTTTGAAGATGTCTGCCATATCATTGTACCTGACAACTGAGACTATCAGTACTATTTTAAAACTTCAAACATTCATAAATAAAGTAATTTGACATTATATTCATTTTTTCATTATCTATTTTTATACTATTACAGCAAATACAGTCTGATCTTCATCTAAATCTTACATAATGCATCTTTAAGGAAAATATAAATACTTAAACTGATCTACTTCTAATAAATTATTAGCTCTAATTTTAAAGTGGAGTGTATGGGACAGATCAACAAATTTCAAATTTAATACAACAGGTGACCCGGCAATGAATCTAGGCATTCTTGCAATTTCTCAGCTCATCCAATATCATATTAGGAATAAAATATATTTTAAAAAATCAGACGGCAATAAACAGCGCATGTCTTTACTAACATTGGATTACTAAGTGTGTAGACATCGTGACGGTATATTATGATTATTAATATCGAGATAATATCAAATCGCAAGTACTAGTCACCAACCATTCATCTCCTCATCTCATTATTACAATACTAAACGAGGGTACGTACCTAAATTTACGAGTTTTATTGGATTTTTAGGTAATGAAATTTTCTGCAATTATGGTTTTATCACACTCAGTACACATAATGTGCTTCTTGACCATGATCACCTTCTGATACGTGAGTCATTGGTAAAACTCATTAATTATGGGAAATTTGTTAGAGGATATTTCATGGGTGATCAATGCCTCATCTTAATACGATTAGAACATCTGATCAAGTTGTGGGGTGTGGAAATACTTGTTTTGGTGTTTCTAAATTTTAGTAGTATGGATCGTGTCAAGTGGTCATTATTTTGTCTGTTACTATGATCATATGGTGATAATAAGAATCATTTCAGATCATTCTGTCCAATTTATTATTTCTTCAAGTGTGACAATTTATGATCCTGTCATTAAACAGTTCTTAATTTTTAATGGACAAGTTTATAAGAAGATTACTGATTGTTTCCCTTATGTCATAGTAGACAGACTATACAGTTTTTAATATCTGAATGTTGCTAATTGTTCTGTCACCAGGGCCCTGTTTCTCGAAATCTTAACTAAAGATAAAATCCAAATTTTAGTAGATACTTCAATTTTGATCGGCTAAGCACTAAAATCAATCTAATATTATCCAATCAAATTACTAAAATTTGGATTTTATCTTAGTTAAAATTTCATGAAATAGGCCCCTGGATCTTTAACAGAAACTGATAAAATGTTGTGAATTTAAATTTGAGCAAATTTAGTGTTGAAAATGGTGAATTATTTTTTAAAGATTCAGTACGCTAATATAACACATTCCTCATTAACATTGGGGGTTCCGGGGTCTGACGAGTGTACTTTATATCATCCCGTCATTGATTCAAGTGACGATGATTTGAATCAGGGTTCTCTGGTTTCCTTCCACTGCTTAGAGACCCTTACACACAAGTGAATTACTAAATTAAAATAGTAGCATATTTATTCTGTTAGTCCCAAAATGAGAAACTTAAATAATAAGACAACTACTGAATCAATGATCTGCTGATGAAGAATATGGGTGTAATGTGGTTGTTATTATATAAGTATTTTTCACTTACCTAGAGAAAATGTTATTATCCTCCATTCCAATCTCAGCAGGTGAGTTACATCTTGCTTGACTGCCATGTTGTATTCTTGTGAGAGATGAACATCCATGGGATCCCATGTCTATTTCTTGTTTCAACTCCATATAAATCCTGTCATGTCCACTCGTTCTAGCATTAATGACCTGAAAATAGTAAAAAAATAAACCCACTTTTAAAAAGTCTGATACAGAGTCTGCTTCCATCAATGTCTTCAGATTGTGCTAAAAAAAAGAACAGAATATAGGAACTATGGACAAAGGTTTTCTTGAAACAATGAGGCAAATTTATATCTAAATGACTTGTCCATAAGATCTGTGTCCAATTACTCCAATATAATATTTCTGAGAAATTACTTTCAATATTCCCTTAATGCTACTGCTATCTGCAATATATTAAATTTTCCACAAATATATAAATCGACCACTGTCTGACACGAATGAGCCAGTTTAACTTGAAAATGTCTTACCACAAGAGCATTTTTCCTTCTAGTTTCAAAATTACAGGTAGGCCTATAGCCTATAAGATCAATGATATCACAAATGAAACTAGTCCACTATCTCCTAAAATGTCTATAATTATATACTTTCATGTGCTCAAATTCTTATTTCTTACGTATAAAGGAATCATGCCCCAAGGAATTCAATAACTCTGGTATAAAAGATGCCATACATGTACATGTATACATCAATATTAGTCTTCTTAACTTAGAACAATTTATTGCCATAGGATAAAAGCTCATCTTTTTGTAATGTTTTATTCTAGCTTCGATCTGGTCTCAGCAAGCCGCTATAGAGGGGAAAATATTGACAGTGAAATGCAATATGCCATAGATCAGGCTATTCATATCGCCATAAAGTGTGAAAATAGCCTCCGGACACAATGTTGGGCCAAGTTCAATACTTGTAGATACATGTATAGATCCACATATAGAGAGTAGAAACAACTTGATCACTAGTTGAAGCATGAATAACCTATAAAAGATTAAGAGATAAACACAGATCACTTTTTCTTCTTAATACCCCAAATTAAAGAAACTGGCTGGTTTGGTTATAGTCCCTGACACAATATCTCATCAATAAATAAATGAAATGAAATGAAATGAAATGGAGTTTAACGTCCTACTGTTCTGTTCCTAACCTGGGCTAATGAAGACGGGCATACGCCATACAGTGTGCTATGAGGGAAATTTTGCCCGGACTGCGGCACTACGGCCTACTCTTATATCGAATTCCAACTGCCAAGGGATCTTTTACGTGCACGCCAATGTGTACACGGGACCTCGGTTTTCCATCCCATTCGAATGACTAGACAGCTTTCCTTGTCAGCCCCTCCGTCCTGCATCACTGACAAGGGAGAACCACGCCGGAAAATCTGGATGAACTTTCTCGGCCAATGCAGGGATCGAACACCCAACTTCCAGGCTAGCGAGCTAGCATCTTACCCACTTAGCCACGTGATCCCCATCAATGAATAAGGTTTCACAGAAAGGATAGATTTCAGATAATACAACATATATACACATTTACCATTCAGATTTAAGAGGGTAATTAAATATGCTCAATTGAAATTGGGACTCTGACTAAGATATATTCATAGTTTTTGATATCAACCAATCAGATTGCAGTAGGCCAATAAAATAAGCATTGATCTTCGAACCTAAGAGAGGTATGATTATAAAAGATTTTACATTCAAAGTTTTATCAAAATCCATTCATCAAACAATCAGACAGCAGTATATACTGAATGAAGTTTCACCTTAGGCTATTGATTGTGGTAAAATATGGAGATGCTATTTGTAGGCCAGTCGGGGAGGTGCAGGAAATTCAGGAGTCCACAATGGCCTTTTTATATATATAAATGAGTATTTTGGGGAATACTAACCCTCACCCTTTTTAGAAGATTGAACTTGAATCCAATTTACCTTTTTTCCCTCTAAAAAGGGTTAGGGTTAGTATTCCCCAAAATACTCATTTATATAAAGCGGCCATTGTGGACCCCAGAAATTCCCGAACCTCCCCAACCAGCCTACAATTAGCATCTCCCCATAATATAATGAATATATATGTATCTGTTCATTGGATATAGAGTTATTGTGTTTCACACAATTAACCAAAAACATTACAGTCAGTCAATTAAATATTTACAGATGGTACTATATTACAAAGAATTGACCAAACAGATTGCACATGACTACTTCAATTTATAAAAATCAATTGGCTAGAAATAAATTTACCACATTTCATAAAAAGTGACAGATGGACTGCAAGGACAAAAAGAACCAATTTAATTATTTAATAGTTAATTAATAATTTATCAGTAGGTCAACATTTTTTTTTCAAATACTAATTAGTACCAATGGGAATCCCCAAAATTCTCACAATAATAGATTATTATTTCAATAATATAACATGGATAATATTTAAAAGGAAACGTTTGACTAATCTAAATATTTTTTAAAAAAAAAAAACTGTAGCTTGTTTTAACCACCTGTGGGTATGGAGTTAACTACTGTTAAAGTGGTCTGCTATTTAACTCAGATTGCCTGCTAATTTTTTGACATTTGCCCCCTTTACAATAATTAAACAACATCCACCATGGCCTAATAGAATTTAAAACGCTACTGGAATGGGTTTGAATTCTGATCAGAAGACGAAAACTTAATTATCAACGTTTGGACACTGGTTGTCAGGTGACAAGGGCAACTACTCTTCTTCATCAAAATTCAGTAGGACTGAGTTAAAAAAAAAAAATCACCAGATACAAATTTAGGGATGAGTAATACCTCACTTTAACAAGAACGGACATCTTCTCTACTTCAGATTGTGTTGCCACTTGGTATGAATACTAAGGAAGGCAATAAGAGAATAACAGACAAGCAGGAACCACACTCCATACACTCCACTAATTACATGACTTTCTAACAAATTTCTGCTATAGTAACAAATTGAACAACATTTTTTTCTGATCATAAATCTAATTCTGATTTGACAAGAATCATGATCAAACATACATTAAGATGTAAAAAAAAAATTGATTATAATTTTTAGTGGACATCTGGGCTAGAAATATAAATGCCTATATCTTAATCACAAATTTGCAACATGTGTCTTTTTTTACACATTAAACTGGTTTTGTATATGAATAGTTACAAATTTACCTTTTTAAGGCAGCGTTTTAATATACCTGATATTCAATATCTATTCTTTTTGAGTAGCAGATTATCAGTAACTGATAGTAGATGGATTCAGTCTGTCACACAAATCAACTTTTTATAACTATAAATGCTCTGACTCTCAGAAGGTGGGGTCTAAACTTGCTAAAGATCCTTTGACGCTTAAACTACCAATTAAATGACCATTGATTCACCCATTCAAATAACCAGAAATCTGACCTCTGACACTTCTTAATCGTTTTTTAAGAAACAAGTAAAAATTTAATCTAATTTCTACATCTTTTCTTTCAAAGTGAGAATTACATCCACAACTGAAGTTTGTTTGAGGATGCACACTTCTTGTAATTGGTCACCCGACACCTTTCTCCCAATAACCCAATCACATGCTAAACTGAATGTCAAACAAGGATGTATTAATCCTGCAAGCATACAACAATACCATTCTATCCTAACTTACACCTATAAAAATAATTCATCTTGTCATATTAGACATATCACACTTAACTGGCTAGTCAGACTTGATCCCCTATCATAATCTTTTTACTGGTAGTAGTTCTTTAAGTAAGTAATTAGCTTAAATCCTATAACAAATGTGATTAACCTAACCCTTGGGCTTCTTCATATAAGATTCTTTTGACTGATGGTTAATCTCCTTAATTTGTATTAAGTATTTATTTATTGATTGCTTCTCATGAACAGTTTCTATATTTCAATACAGGAACTAAAAATGGCACATATATTATCCGTCACCATTGTTAGAGAATTATTTCTTCTTTTTTTCTTGTCCATACCGTACTATAAACCACTTGAACATAAAGATCTTTAGCCTATCAAGTATCTCTTCTAAGCAATTTATTATCTCTCATAAGAAAATTTCGATGCATATTAGTATTATCACAAATCTTATATATGCAATCATGCATGATTCTTCAAGGAATAAATTCTTTCAGTTACGGTAATCTCAGTGAATTGCATTTCCTGTCAGTTCCTGCACATACATCACAGATACAGCATTCAAGCCAGTTGTATACCTTCCCGTGTCACCCTGCACGTTTCAAGTCAGTAGCTTGAAGCGTATATATGGTATTAGTGTCAGTGGCTTGTGGCACGAAGTAACAGTATATTGTCGCATACATAATATATTATGTCAACGCTTGGGCGACATAATATATTGTGTTGACGCTCCAAGCGTGTTAGCATATTAGACCTGTAGACTCAGTGGAATGTACGCGTCATCAGAGCCATAGAAAGTGTCCCTGTAAATAAAAGAGGGCATCCTTATCAGAAAAAGGGCACCTGTGATGTCAGAATTTCAAAAAAGGGCACTTTTCTTTCGGATTAGGGTTAGGGTTAGGGTTAGGGTTAGGACACAGAAAAGAGAGAAAAAACAGAAAAGAAAAAAACAAGCATTCATTGGTTATCAAAGCGCCAATTAAATCTATCGTTGCAAGTTCATGCCTAGTCACCTCCATCCTAGTTCCAAGCGTTGACATAATATATTATATCGCCCAAGCGTTGACATAATATATTATGTATGCGACAATATACTGTTACTTCGTGCCACAGGCCACTGACACTAATACCATATATACGCTTCAAGCTACTGACTTGAAACGTATCGCCTGCCCGTGTACCATAATAGCAAGAGTCAAACTCTCCTACCTACTAATGATAATGTAAAAGTCCCTAGAACAAATTGCAGAAGCATACAAATTTAACAGTTGATACTGTGTTTTCTGGATATTTTGATGCCTTCGAATGCAATTTTGAATGAATAATGATCAAGTGAAAATCACTATAAATATTACTTCTGAGATTGTATTTTACAAGGTCTTTTTTACATGTTTTAGATGCAATTAAAAATACACCAAGATTTGTGTTAGCCCAAGTGAATGATCACGCTGCTCTAAAGTGGGGCTTATGTCGACTTTGCAACCCAAAGCAACTAGTTGCAGTCAGTTGCAAGAGTGC